CATACATATATACTACATATATATTTGTGTATATACATACATACATATATATACATATATGTATGTATGTATGTATAGATGCGTAGATATATATATATATATATATATATATATATATATATATATATATATATATATATATATATATATATATATATACACATATACACATACACATATGTATATCATATGAAGAAGGCCCGCGCTGCCCTTCTTCCGGGATCCCTTTCGAACACGTGATTCGGTCGTGTTTCTTTGTTTAATCGCGAGGAAGCGTCCGAACATCCGCGCGACTCTGGCTTCGCTGCGCTCATTGAGGAGTCAATCACCACCCGTGGGGAGATGAGTTATTCGGTTCACGAGACACTTATTGATTTTCTCCTAAATTCACCGTAGCAGGAGGAGAACTGGGAATCATAGAAAAAGTCATTATTATTCTTTGGTCATGTGTAACACAACACGTTATTTTTTTTTCTGGCTCTACGAATTTCTTGGTACCCCCCCCCCCCTCTCTCTCTTTCCTTCCTTTCTCTCTCTCTCTTTCTCTCTCTCTCTCTCTCTCTCTCTTTCCTTCCTCTCTCTCTCTCTCTCTCTCTCTCTCTCTCTCTCTCTCTCTCTCTCTCTCTCTCTCTCTCTCTCTCTCTCTCTCTCTTTCTCTCTCCCCCCCCTCTCTCTCTCTCTCCTTCCTCTCTCTCTCTCTCCTTCCCCCCCTCTCTCTCTCTCTCTCTTTCTCGAAGACAACATTAGTCTCAATCGGCATAGCGTATTGCACGTGCATTTCGCATTGCAAAGGTAACCGGACATAAATTTCAGCAGTGAAATGGATTGATTGTTCCATGTAGATAATCTTCAATCTCCCACTTTGCGGAATTATGGCCATGCTGAGTAACCGACTGCCGACGCCTCGTACACCGGCCTGGAAAGTCTCAACAAGTGCAGCCGAAAGCGATGCGTTTGCGTCAAATCGTAATGATAAGCGACATCTGTTGGTATCCAAAGCAACTTTATTTCCTTGCGGGATAAGCTCATGTCGACGAGGAGAGACATCTGGCGGGGGCGCGCGGAATCTGCTGATGCGACGGCAATATCATCTAATTTCCTTGACATCGCGGATTGATCGTCTTACTATTAAGCAAATACAATATTGGCTTCCAGGATTAATGGAACAACGCACACATGTATGCGGAAAGATAAACATACACGCTCTCTCATTTTCTCCTTCTCATTGTCCTTCTTTGTTTCTCTTTCCCTCTCTTCTCTCTCTCTCTCTTTCTCTTTCTCCCCCCCCCCCTCTCTCTCTCTCTCTTACAAACACACATACATGCATTTCTCCCCATCTTTCCAGTATACGTGCAGAGTGAAAAGATAAAGGCTCAGAATGGGAGGAAGAGAGGGAGAGGGAGAGCGAGAGGGAGGGGGAAAGGGAAGGGAAGGGAGGGGGAAGAGAGAGGGGAAGAGAGAGAAAAAGAGAGCGGGAAAGAGAGAGGGGAAGAGAGAGGGGAAGAGAGAGGGGAAGAGAGAGAGGAGAGAGAGAGAGAGAGAGAGAGAGAGAGAGAGAGAGAGAGAGAGAGAGAGAGAGAGAGAGAGAGAGAGAGAGAGAGAGAGAGAGAGAGAGAGAGAGAGAGAGAGTTTAAAAGTAAGAAGTATAAGTTTAAATTTTTGCAACCACATCCTCGTGATCGGACACCCAGAACTAGACTTATCGGCCCGTGTCGCTGCCTCCTGTCATCAGCAAAGTCTCTGGGAAGATAATCGAGCCTCCCGCCGGACTGCTTCTGCAGCCACGCTGTTCTGACGCCCAGATAACGTGGGTTCCGGAAACCCGCTCGGCAGTTGATCTACGCCTTTCAAAGATCTCTAGGTGGACTGATGCCCTAGAAGGAAGTCACCGTCCACGAGGCTCAGATCCACTCGGCGGCGGAGGGTTCGATGCTCTCTTGGACAAGCAGCTCAGAGGGAGAGAAGGGGAGAAGGAGGGGGGGCGGGAGAAAGTTACGGAAGTAAGCTATTTATGTAGCATGAATTAAAAAAAAGCGCCATGTTGACAACGAGACACATTCTCTTCCAATACAACCTTAACATAAAGGCAACACGTACTGACTTCCATGCCTGATAAGTTCTTAGAAAGGAATGGGAGGCGGCCGCTGGCGAAGGGAGGAAAATAATTACGGGGAAAACAAGCACAGGCGTCAATACCCACACTGGTGCAATATATCTGAGGAGGATCAAGCAGCCAGCGAGCCAGCGCCTCACGGGCGGCCGAGGTCTGACTGACGGAGATCCTTCTGGCGGAGGAGAGGGCAAGGAGGAGAAGTTAATGACGCCTCTCCGGCCGCGCTCCCTCCCCTCTCTCCCCTTGAGGGCGGCCCCTGGGGTTCCCAGCGCTCATTCCAACCGCAACGAACCAGGGGTTAGGATGCGAGAACAGAAGCTGAACAATTTGTGAACAAACGGCGAAGGGATGAGGAACAGAGGGCTTCGTCAGAGGGCTTCACGGGAACAAGCTCACTCCGGCATTCTTGCTCTCCCCCGTAGGTATACATTTTTTCATAGATGTGTATATGTGTGTGTGCGGGATTACACGAAGAGGACATTCCTTGCTTAGAGGAGACTGAGCTGTAAGATCTGAGACTGAGACTAGGACGTAAGTGTTCCTACGTATGAGAGGAAGGCGGTCGAGGCCGAACACGAATGACGACAGAGGAAGCACAGGAGAGAAGAGTAA